AGTAGAGACGGGGTTTCACCATGTTGACCAGGATGGTCTCGATCTCTTGACCTCGTGATCCACCCGCCTCGGCCTCCCAAAGTGCTGGGATTACAGGCTTGAGCCACCGCGCCCGGCTATACTTCTTTTTCAAAATACTTGCAAGCAGTGTTTGGCCCTTCCCTGATACCCATGGCTAACATTTTAACTCTACCTTTCATCCTGCCATTTTGTATTTCCCTATGTTATAGTCTGTTCAGGTCGTTGAACAAAATACCATGAGCTGTGTAGCTTATAAATAACAGAAATTTATTTCTTACAGTTCTGTGGTCTGAAAGTCCAAGATCAGATTCAGGGTCTGATAAGGCCTGCTTTCTGGTCTATAGATAGGTCCAAGATCAGATTCAGGGTATAATGAGGGCCTGCTTTCCCACAGATGGCCATCTTTTCACTATAACCTCACACACTGGAAAGGGTGAGGGGTCTTTCTGGGACCTTTTTTCAATGGCACTAATTTGATTAATGAGAGATCAGTCCTTATGACCTAAACACCTCCCAAAGGCCCTACCTCTTTATGCTGTCACCTTGGGAATGAGGATGTCAACATGAATTTTGGGATGCAAACAAACATTCAGATCATAGCACTCCATAGGAAGTTTATTTTTTCACATTCATTACAACTTGACCTGCTGTATATTTTACTCATCAACTCAGTTTTTTCTGCCTATGTGTCCCCTCACATAGTACATAACCAGTCTTCAATAATACTGCTATATGGCTACATTTCTTCCCCTTTGTTTCTGCTATTCTTTAAAACTTTGAACATGTGCCATGCAGGTACCAATGTCCCCAAAATGAGGCTACATCTTAGTATTGTCAGATGAGCTGCCATAGAGATTGGTCAATAAGTCATCAGTAATACCCAAGAATGAGTGTTCCCTAATTCTTTAGTGGAGAGAAGCTAATTTTAATTTCTCCTAACATTTGGGTGACTGAGGCAGAGAAGAGAAGTGGGTGCTAATAGGGACCTACTGCATGAAGCAAGGAATTATCACACTGACACCTTTGTTCCTGCCTTGCTGCAAATCCCTTATAAGTTGTGAATGGTGAGGTTGCTGCAACTTCAAGGTCACTATGTTTGGAGTCCTGATAAGGGAAGGGGAGTCAAGCTGGCATGGCAGGAGCAGGGGAAAGCAGAAAGAAAAAGTATATAAACTGTTAAGTCCACCTTTCTTCCTGGTCCAGGGCCCATAGCAGATAACTTACAATCTTCCTGCACTGACTTATCACCAGACACTGTGACTAATAGAAAAATGCAAGTTAGCTCACTGCAACCTTGGCATTATCAGTACTGCATGTAGCCCTCTCTAGCACAAGCACTATCCTGTAAAATCCCCAGGAAGCCTTTGTCTCTTTGTAGTCAGCTCCTCTCTTGGTGATCTGTCTGTTGCTTTCTTGCAGTGTATTTTCATACTTTGTCTAATAAGTACGCCTTTCTGTGCCTACAACTGTCTTGGTAAATTCCTTTACTGCCCACGCCACCAGCCCTGGATATTGCTACCCACAACACTGTGTTGTTTTAGTTTAATTTAGGACTCTTACTCTAGATGAGTAATTTTCAAGCATGCACTTTTGCCCACATGTGCATATCCTCCCCCGACAATAGGACATTGGTGGTATCTGGGGACATTTCTGCTTTACACTGCTTGTGGGAATTGCTACTTGCAGCTAGTGAGTGGCGCATAGGGATGTTGCTCTGCATTCTGCAATGCACAGGACAGTCCACAATGAAGAATTCATACAAACTGTAGTATCAGTTGCTGCATTTGCAAAACTCTGACCTAGATTAAAATAAGCACATATCTTTTATTTCATTATGTAGATTGCTAAGATTACAGTTACAATTTATTGTGTGTGTGTGTTTTTTTTTCTGAGATGGGGTTTTATTCTGTCACCCAGGCTGCAATGCAGTGGTGTGAACTCAGCTCACTGCAGCCTCCGCCTCCCAGATTTAAGTGATTCTCTTGTCTCAGCCTCCATAGTAGCAGGACTACAGGCATGCACCACCGCGCCCAGCTAATTTTTGTATTTTTTTTTTCGGTAGAGACGGGGTTTTACCATGTTGGCCAGACTGGTCTTGAACTCCTGATCTCAGGTGATCCACCTGCCTGGGCCTCCCAAAGTGCTGGGATTACACGCACGAGCCACCACCCTCAGCCTATTGTGGTAATTTTCAAAGGGGAAAGTATTGCACATCTTTATTAGTGGTGATTATGTAGTAATGTCTCTGGAACAATGTGTGGTTTATGTTTTGTGTTTATTAATCACCAGTAAGTAAAGACTTTTGAAGAATTATTTATAGGTTTTTAAAAGGTGAATCAACTAAGTTTCATTTTATTTTATTTTATTTTATTTTTTGAGGCGAAGTTTCGCTCTTGTTACCCAGGCTGGAGTGCAATGGCGCGATCTCAGCTGACCGCAACCTCCGCCTCCTGGGTTCAGGCAATTCTCCTGCCTCAGCCTCCTGAGTAGCTGGGATTACAGGCACGC